TCCATAATAGTTCTGTGAAATCTTAAACTGTAGGCTGATTATCAAGTAATAAGAGATTCTGTTGCTTAGAAAGTACAGTACTTAGAAGGAACTTATACCAGGATCATTCAATTGTTAAACCAAGAAATGAGATTTTTAAAATTATTTTTATTAGTAAGTATTTGTAGTATATAATAACTTTCATTTTAGGGAACTGGTATATGTATATAATACATCTCAGTCATGATTGTCTTTCCACTTTTGATTTGAGCCATATCAAACATGTTGGCATTTTCATGAAGAATTCAACTCTTTAGCAAGTCAGGTTCAGAGCACTTACTTTTTCTCTCACTAAAAATGTTCTTGGATTTTTCAACAAACATTTAACTCCCACTCATCATTTAAAGGTAATTTTAAGTGTTATCGTTTACTAGACTTGTTCTGTAATGTCTAAGTCTGAATTAGATGGTTCTAATCTCAAATTCCATGGCAATTTGTCTGTGCTTATATCATGTACTACACCATAAAATAATTTATCACCCCATATCTTCCAATATTTTGTTTGTTAAACAAACTCCTTTGAGCTTCTTATTAACATTAGAATGCTTCTTTAAATATTCACATTGAAATACATAATTTTACTTTGAATTTCAGCAGTTTAAAGTGTTCCAAAACATCTGCATACTGTCTAGCATTTCATGTAAATGTTCCATGTGAGTTCTTTATTATTACATGCTGATTTGCCCTGCCAGATAGTGATTTACTGAGCTACTAATCAAGACAAAAAAAAAATTTCAGCCACAAAGGAGGTGGCTTCCAGAAATGCAGTGCTAGAAACAATGAGACTGAGTAATATCCTGTTGGATTTCAGAAAGGTCCAATTATTTTTGTTTTTTTCAGACATCCAGTTTTACTGATACTTAAATAGGACCTGGGCTCAGTGAGATTATATCCCACTAGGGAGAGGAAATAGAGTCAGTCACCAGGCCACAAAATCTGATAGCTTTCTGTGTGTCTGCTGTCTACTATCCTGAAATGAGGCTCCTCCATGAAGATACAGGGATATCTGTTATTGTCTGTCTTCCTTTCTGTGTTCATCTTGCCAATTGCCATGATCATATTACTCAAAGTAAGTCTTTTAAGGTCAATCCATACACTTTCTCCTCCCTATTTTCTGCAGTCTCACTATGAGAAATTGGATCCCTTATGTATTGTGAACTTTTTTTCACATTAAGATTTCTAGTCCTCACTTATTTTTTGTGTAAAAGAGAGATAATGTCTCATTATTAAGGTGAGTTTATGAAGTGTAATTGTTGAACAGAAGATCAATGGAGTGTTTTTTGCTGTCTCTTTTAGTAGAAGCGTTCATTCATTCCATCAACAATTATTTAAGCATCTATTGTCTACTTGGAATTAATGCAAGGTGGAGAACTCATGTTTACTGATCTAGTACATTTATAGGCAAAGCTAATTGTGGCAATTACCTTCTTCCTTATGAGTATTACCATTTATTGTCACAAATAGACTTTTTGAATAAATTAAATCAACCCAAGGAATTATATTATTTCAATTCCAGGTCCCATGAGGAGAATGGCTGGTATTTTTGAATAAAGTATTTTAAAGGAATTGTATTTCACCAACACTGGCTACTGGCCTAATACAAAAGAGTTACATGGCACTTGGCCATTTCAATATCATTAACAAGTTAAAGGAGAGGTAATATTTCATTTTGATCTGGATTTTATCCATAGTGCATTCTCTGATATATAAGTGGTATTCATTAAATATTTCTGATTTAATAAAATAACTGAGCAAATGGCAAAATTGATATAAGGTGTTTAAATTGTGAATATTATTTTACAGATGAATTTTATGGTTAAATACATTCAGTACCTAGGATACTGGAAATAATTCTGTGATGATGCAGATAGAAAACGAGAAAGTTTCATTATAATTTAAAATATCCTACCACCACAGAATTGTCACTCTTAAGATTATTAGTACTGATATTGTGTAGAACTAGAATATCTATTTAATTTAGGTTTTCCTTGTACCATTTCCAAACAGCTAAAGAGTTAGTCACACATCTGAAATGAGTATGTATATATATATATATATATATATATATGTATGTATATATATATATATACATGGTGGATGCTGTTGCTGCAGGCCACCCAAGAGAAAGACGGGCTTGCAGAAACATTACGGTGTGTCCCCGTCCACCGCGCTCACCAGATCTAGCACTCTGAAACTTCTGGCTCTTCCCCAAAGTCAAAAAGACCATGAAAAGTAAATGTTTTGAATTGATTCAGGTCATAAAGACAGTCCGATAGTGCAACTAAAAACAAGCACTGAAGACAACTTCCAGAACTACTTCAGAAAGTGGCAAGAATGATGAGATAAGTGTGTTGAAAGACAGGGGGAGTATTTTGAGGTGGATTAATGGCAGTGTGTGTTTTACTGTAATAAATTTTTAAAAATTTCAAAATGGGTTGTATTTTTCAGTCACACTGTGCATTTCCTTAGGGTAAATTCCTGGAAATGGAGTTATTTGAAGTCTTTTTTTTTTTTAAGTATAAAAGAAAATCATGCATTATTTTACCTTCCCATGCAACCACTCTTTAATATTTTGGTGTAGTTCTATTTGTTTATATAAACTTCATGAGATTGTAATGTAGTTATAAATCAGATCCTACTATCTATTAGGTTACCAGGTGGTTAGCAGGGTAAGGAACTTACACTATGATAAATTTTTAGAATTTGGTGTGGTATAATGAATATGGCCATTGCTACATACTACCTCTATTAGTGGGGTAACAAGATAGGGTTCTTTTCAGACTGAAAAAAGAAAATGTTACTCTTAAATGTGGAATACTACTCATCATGCACAACATACACAACTTTACTGTTTATTTAAATATTAATATGAATACATAATGACATAAGATTTTGGCTTTCATGACTCATTTTCACAGGCTGAAGGTTAGTAATACATGGTAACAACTTAAATTATGTTAAATGTTGACCCATCTAATCTTTACATCATGACAGAAATGAGACTTTAAGGGGTGTTGCTGAACACCAGTCCTATTCAATATGGTCATTTAAAAAATTTCATATGTTATTTTACTAACGAAGCCTTCACGCTTTATCAATGAGATTTGATTTAAAAATAACTCAATAATTAAATAGGTGTATTTTAAGAAGTTAATGCTTACCTACCTTTTTTATTGTTCTACTCACTTGTTAAACTATGCTTGAAATGCCTCTTTGAAATTCTCTTTGGTTTGTTGCTTTGGATTTGCTAGCTTCCCATGGGAGAAAACCACATTCATTGTTAATTTCAGTTTGAAATATTGATAGAAAAGTATTATTTGTAAAAAATGGGATTTCCCATGTATCTGCTGTAAGCTTAGGAACTCTGGAGTGTGACACCACTCAATATGCTCTTGAGATATAATAGCAGTAATAATAAGCCCTGTGTACTTATAGTCCCTTTCCATTATAGATTTGTAAAATCATTTATTTGGCTTTTATATTTCACCCCCTATAGTAACTTGTGTCGTATAGGCCAGCATTAGAAATGGCATCATTCTACACCATGTTAAGATACCCTGACTTATTACAGCTAGTCGTACTTTCTTGTAGTCTTAGTCTACCAGGATTTGTCTAAGGTATGATGTTGATGTTGTTGCATGGGTTCACATTAACATTGTATCAGGTAAAATTTGATCAGAGAAACACCATAACGATTATAAGGGATGTGCCATAGGGATTAATCTTTATGTGACTATGGGAGGTAGCTAAACTTTCCCTGTGTGTGTTGTCTGAGTGTCTGGCATTGAACCTCATGTTGGTAGAGCTAGCAGGTGGGAAGAGAAGATGGATATGGAATAGGGAAAGGAAGGACAAACTATTACCTATGAAGATGAACTTCTGTTTCTCACTAAAAAGGGTATTAGTCTCTAATCTAATTCATTAATGGAAGAGACTAGTCAAAAGCTGATGTACTTCACCATGATGTTGCATACAACCTGACACAGGGCTCAGATGAGTGGAAGAAGGAGGAGCCATTAGTCTCTGGAGTTCCTGTAGACCTCACTATTATCCCAAGGTTCTCTTGCAGCAGCTGGAGTTGCCAGTGAGGTCACCAGCTCTGATCCTACACTGACTTGCTTAATACTTAATATGGGAACTATGGCTGCTAGTTCCCTCCTGCCTTCCAAATCTCTGGGAGAGTTCTTTTGTGCAACTCTAATCTAGAACTGTGCAGGAATGGGAATCTTGGGAAACACAGTTCTAGCCAGCTAAGTTATAGCACAAAAACACCAGGCTCAACCTTTTGTGTACTTGGCACCTACAGATTCCTCTTTTAATCATATTTAACTTCCAAATAAGGGCAATGGCAGAATCACTCTTCTGCTTATGTGTAACTGTCCCTTGTACAACCAGGTACACACACATTCTGTCCTTAAAGGGGGATACAAAAAATTCTCTTTACTAATCTTTGATTGATGTTTATTCCTGTGTTTGCTGAATCATATCCATCTTGATAATCTTGAAATTTAAATCTTGACATATGAGGTTAACTACTACTACTGTATTTTATGTTGGATATTCAAGCAAGAGGAAAGGGGCCAAACAAAAACAACCCCCCCTCCAACTTGGTATATATGCAAATAACAAAGAAGAAAAACTTACAGTTATTATAGGTGTTGTTTCTAAACTGGCCATGTGATCATAGTTTTTATTCTATAAGTACTTTCTTCAGCTACCCATTCCATACCTTTTGCCCTCAGCACGCACTTCAGCTGGCTGTGAGTTCTTACTGGGTAAAGACTTACCTTAGCAGTTCGCTTATATTTGGTTATTGTAACTTTCTAGTTACTTTAATCACAGGACATAAGGAATGGTAAGAGGTACCCTAGAGGCTCCCCTACATTTCAGAGGAAGTCGTCCTTCTTACCTCTGTAGTGTTGTAGCAATCCCGTTTCCCCTTAGTAGTCAGGATCACTTGCCCCAGCCAGCACAGTGATCTCTTTCTTTACTGCTTTCTGGATGAGGAACCCAAAGTGGCCAAGTGGCAGTCAACGTCCAGTTTGGTAAAACCATTGCCTTTTCCTCCGGTGGAAGCATTTCTTCCTGGATAACTAGAAAGTCAGACCAGAAAAATCCAAAGTTTTAGGGATGAGCAGCAAAAATGTGACTAGTAGATTAGGGCAATAATAAGAGGAACTACCTCCATTTCCACTCTTGGATTCCAGGGTTATGAATTGAGGCTATGGGAGAAACAGCACTATTCCTTAATGTGTACTACACCATATACAGGAAGATACTACTTCAGGATACCATAATTGAATGTTCAAAATGCCACTCCATTATTCTCTCAGGCAAACTGCACCAGGCTATTGAACATGATGAGACCAGTGAATTCCACGAGCATGAGCCTTCTGTTGTACTTTATTTGCTAACAAGTGAGTTCTTTGGTCAGAAGCAATTTTATGTGGAGTACAAAGACAATCCATTAGGCAGTCTGTAAATTCAAAGATGATGGATTTAGTAAAAGCACTGCTAGCAGGGAGGGCGAATCCACGTGGCAGGTGTACTCATCTGTACCAGCAAAAACGAAGTGCACCTCTTTCATCATAAAAGGTTATAATGTAATCAGTTTGCTACCAGGCATCTAGCTGTCCCCACAAAGAATGGCATCACAGTGAAGACTCAGGATTGGTATGAGCTGTGTGTTAGACACTCGGCTGTATGTATGGCCAGATTGGTTTTAGTGCATGGCAGTCCATAGTGCATGGCACTCCATACTGCACCATGGGCTCTTTGTTCTTGACCTCATTCTACGAGGACAGGCTAGGTAAGAATGAGGCTGGCTGATGTCCAGATCATGTTGTTCACTTGAGTAGGTAGAATCTGTCTTTGCGGAGGTTCTTTTTAGGAAGTAGTCACATGGCACACAAATGTCTTCAGTCCTTATATCCATTTAGAGAGGTCTGCACATACGCTTTGCCCAGACTTCGCTGCCAGTTTTCTGCCATGCATGTTCCTAGCCAATTCTTAGCCACTGCCAATGGATTAGTATGAATCTGTACCTCTGGAAAAATGAAGAACTCTATATTCTACTTGAAGATCTGCCAGCTGGGAGAGTTTTCATTCCCCATTATTTTTTAGAGCCCCTCTGGAGAGGCACTGTACTGTTTTAGTTGTTCATTTTTGATAATGCTGACACATCCTGCAAATCTGTAGACCATACCTGTACTTTTTCCCTTTCTCAGACTAATAATAAGGAGCTAGTTATAGAAGACTCCCAAGACTGACAAGGAGAAGGCAGGATAGCAGGCATATGGTCCACAAACATTTGGACCACTTGCCTATTCATGCCTTCTTCCAGAACCTACTTGAACTCACTTTTGCATATATACTTCCATTGTGATGATGGCAGTCTGCCTTCTGAATTGATGGGTCAGATGATTCCTTCTTCAAAATAGGCGGGACAGATCACATGGTAACTTGGTCTTTTATAAGACTCAGGAGCAAGCCAGTTGTTTCTCAAAGGAGGATAGTAGTTATCTGTACAGGGTAGCATAGCTTGGCCCCTAAATCCTAATTCTGTGTTGTGACTCATCTGTATACCAGAGATGCTGTATAACATCCCCACCAATCACAGACTTTTTAAGTCACCATCAAGTCTGTTGGACATCTGCTCTATGGTAAGAAAGGATTGTATAGCAGCTATCTCTTTCAGGGCCCTACTCAAAATGAGCAGTCTCTTGGGTTACTTGGGAAATGAAGTATGTGTTGCTTCTCAAACCCGAATAGTCCCACTGGGCTTTGTGTTGCTTTCTTAGTAATAAGAAAGGCCAGATGTGGAAACTTGTCCTTCACCTTGAAGGGATGCCTCAATATGCCCCACATCCTTTGACTCTTAGAAATTTCACCAAGATGGCAAGCCTCTGAGTTTTTATGGAACTTAATTTCCCTCACTGACATGTTTCTGTCATAATAGATTGTGTACAATAGCTGCTTCTTGCTCAGCAAGTCAGATAAGCCTGGGTGTCGTCACTGTAATGAGCCAGGGTGCTGTCTGGTTGAATGAAGAGACAGTCGTGATCCCTGCAGATTAGAATATGACTGAATTGTCGCTGAAGCTCTAAGATGGGATATCTATTGCTGGCCCTGCAAACTTCCTCTGGTGAATGCTGAATAAAGCATTCAGCAGATGAAGAGCTGTAACACGTTATGGAGGTGTTGGGTTTCATCAGTGAAATCACACATGAAGCAGCAGTTGCTTTGGGAGCCACAACCTTGTCAGTCGCTTCCATAATCCATTGTTAACCTCTAGGATCCATTTGTCTTCTGCACAGGTAACGCAAGTTGAATGGAGATGTGTTAGAAATCAGTAGCTCAGTTTTTTTCAAGTTTTTGATGTAAACAATACATCTCTGTAAACCCTGCAGAAATCCAGTCATGGTTTGGTGTATTGTGTTGGTAGATAAAGGCAGTTTTACAGGCTTCCACTTGACCTTTTTTATTTGGGTTTTTTTTGGTACCGGGTATCAAACTCAGGACCTTGTGCTTTTGAGGCAGGTGGTGGCACCACTGAGCTGAATCCCCAGCCCTCTAGTTGTTCATAATTAGTGACTCCTTACCATGACACCATAATAGCAAAATATAATGTGTTCATGAAATAGTAGCTATGTGGCTACAGAGCTAGTTTCTTTTGCTTCACAGTCTGGTCCCTTTCTTTAGATAATTTAGGAGACTGTTGGAGTACTTCTCTGTGAAATAATAAAAATAGTAACTATGATTTATTAAATTTTTAAGCAAATACCAAATACTTTGTCAAGAACTTTCAGTGTTATCACATTTAATTTTTTCTAATATTATGAAAGTTAGGTACTGTCTACATTTTATAAGAGAGAAAACTGAGGTGCAGGTAAGTATCTTGCTGAGATCACTCAGCAGGTTAAAGGGGAACCCAAGATTGGACCCTGGTCTGTGTGCCTCCAAAATATATGGTCTTCGCCACTCTGCTAAACTGCCTTTAGATTGCAGGGAACATTGAGAGATCAATAGGGGAACTGAAAATTGTGATTAACTCTGGCCAGTCATGGTTTCTCCTCCCTGCCCTGTAGCTCTAACCGAGGAATTGGATTCTGTGACCAATGAACTGCATGCAGTAGACATTCAAATTCAAGAACTTACGGAAAGGCAGCAGGAGCTCCTTCAGAAAAAATCAGCCCTATCAAAGAAAATCAAACAGTGTTTAGAGAATTCAGATGTTGGGGCCAGCCAAGAATGTGATTCTTCACCAGCTGCTTGGAATAAAGAAGGTTTGCTTTTTCTTTTTTTCTGTGCTAGTTTTGTTTGTTCCCTCTTTTTTTAAAAGCTTGAATTTAGATTATTCTGTATGGGTCAGTGCTTTTTAGTAGGCTTAGAGATGAAATATTGGGGTGGAAAACATAGAAGTAGCCTGTTCTTTACCCACATTCTGTAGTCTTTAAGCAGTTACTGTTCAGGCTTTATTTTTTCCAAAAGTGGTTTTAACAACATTGATCAATGCTTGAAAAATAAGATATTTACTTCAATTAAATTTTCTAAGTTTTAACTAAAAAGAAAAAAACCCCTTTAAATTATTCACACTCCTTGCCAAAGTCTTGCTTATTTTCCTGCCATAGTGAACAAACTTTTTTTTTTTTTTTTTTGGTACCGGAGATCGAACTTGGGACCTTGTGTTTGGGAGGCAGGTGGTGGCACCACTGAATTAAATTCCTGGCCCCAAACCATTCTTGATTAATTTAAAATCTTCAATGAAGGACTGTGTTTGTCATTTATTATAACAATACTCTAAAAGGAGTTGTGGTGCTTTTTTGGAGATTCTTTTCCAGTGATTGACTTCTAAACACAAGATATTAACACTAAAAGCTCCACGTATTTGTTAAGATATTTCAGTTTTTTATGATACTAGAAATTCCCTGTTCATCATTTAGACTGTTCTTCAAATACTCAATTGAACATCTTCCTCTTCTGTATGGGTGAATTTTTAAGTGGCAAATGTTTCCTTTTTTTGTGTACTGTTTATTGATACATCATTTAATTTGCTTTTGCTTAGCTTAGTGAGTTGTACTAATCTCAAAATTATTATTACCCAAGTTTAATTTAAAGGTTTTAAAATAGTAAAAGTCTTAAGTATGTGTGTGAGTTTTGTATGCTATAAGAACAGTCAATTATGATTGTGTCTCACTTGTAATCCTAATTGTTCTAATATTTTTAGCTTATTTTTTCTCTGTCTAGACTTTCCATGGTCTGATAAAGTTAAAGATGTTCTGCAAAATGTCTTCAAACTGCAGAAGTTCAGACCACTTCAGCTTGAAACTATTAATGTAACAATGGCTGGAAAGGAGGTATTTCTTGTTATGCCTACTGGAGGTGGGAAGAGCTTATGTTACCAGTTGCCAGCATTATGTTCAGATGGTATGTATTAATAGAAGGGAATTTTAAGTTGAAATGATTTTCCTAATATTTTAAAATGCCTTTTCAAACAAATTCCTAACTTAACATGTAAAAATCAAGTGCATTTTTGTTTTATTTGTCTCTACATTAATAGAGCTTACATGCTAAAACAGGTTACAGTGGAGAAAGAACTTATTTAGAAATGGGGATAAAGAGAAGATGATGAATTCAGTTTGGGACATACTAAATTTATGATGCCTCTAAGACATCGAGGTGTAACTCCTGTGACTGAAGAATGTTTGGGTGTTAAGCTTGAGTGTGAGAGATCTAAGTTAGATGAGTTGGAGGCTATTAGTGTGAAGATGGCCATTAAAGCCATGGAAATAAATTATTTCATTTTTTATGTTGACCATAAAAAATGCTTTGGAAGTAAGAGTTGAAGATGTGGAGCTGGAAAGTGTGGAGCACTCTTTGGTAAAGAATGAAAAAGAAGAGAAAGTGCCATAAATTAGGTGCTTTTGTACTCTTGAGTTGCTATAACAAAATACCTTAGACTGGGTAACTTATAAATAACAGAAGTTTAGTGCTCACAGTTTTGGCATCTGGGAAGTCCAAGATCAAGGACAAGCAGATTTGATGACTAGTGAAGACCTGTTTTAGATGGCATTTTTGTG